TCCCTCCCTCCCTAATTTTAATCCCCACTCAAGGATATATTTTTATTGATTTTAGAGATAGAAAAAGGGAGAGGGAGAGAGAGAGAAACATCCATCATTTGCCTCCCATATGTATCCTGATCAGGAGTCGGGCCCACAACCTGGGTATGTCCCCTGGTCAGGATTTGAACCCATGACCTTCGGTGCCCTGGACAATGCTCCAACCAACTGAGCCACACAGGCTGGGGCATGAATTTCTTTTGAATTATCAGAATTTGGGGGGGGGCAGTGATTGGGGAGGAGCCGAATTGTAAAATTCATTATATATACATTTTCATTTAGTCCAAATTGAAATATCTCTTTTTCTTTGTTTCATTGGCGTTCATAATGCTACAAAGGAAACCATTTGGACATTGCATAAAAAACTGGGAGCAAACCCAAGACAGAAACAGATGTTTTATTAAATATGTGTCTTGTTAAAAATGGTTGTAGTCGGAAAGGTTGTTCTGCTTGAGAGACAGAGATAAAACGGGCTAGACAAGTTAGGGTACAAATTAAGGTCACTTATGCTAATTTGAACACTTACATACACTAAATTTAGAAACATCCAGACGACCCCACGGAAAGCTAGAGATGACTCCTTTTCTCCCCTGAGCATGACTTTTTTTTAGCTACTCAAAAAAAATCTACCGAAATTAAACTGATTCTTCTCAATATTCTTTTAGAAACTCAGTAGGGCGCTGAGACTCAAAAGAAAACTAAATATATCACGGACGCTCCTAGGGCTGTTTTTCAAATTTAAAAATACCTCCGATACACACTCAGGTGTTAAAAATAACTTTGTATCGTCTCGTGTTTGTGTTGTTTGTGTCACTAGGGCTGTTTTTTCAGATTTAAAAATACCTCCGATACATACTCAGGTGTTAAAAGTAACTTTGTATCATCTTGTGTTTGTGTTGTTTGTGTCACTAGGGCTGTTTTCCAGATTTAAAAATATCTCCGATACATGCTCAGGTGTTAAAAGTAACTTTGTATCGTTTCGTGTTTGTGTTGTTTGTGTAACTACCTGGGAGCCTTAGTCAGGGGCGATGTCAGCACCTGAGTTGTACTCGTGGTGCAGGTTTCTTGGAAACCCTGGGGAGCCAGGAATAGTTTCCTCGTATTTTCATAGGTTGTGCTCTAAAAAGCACGACCCTTCAGGACCCTCTTTGCGGCCGTCTCCCAAGACGTTGTCCGAGCGGCCACCTCTCTCGAGCACGACTCTCTCTGTCCCCCCGACAAGACCAGAAGGTCCTTGAGGGAAGGGGCTGGGTTACAGTCGTCTTTGAAATTCCTTTTCTGTCTCATCTCACGCCAGGCCTCCGCTCACCGGACATTTCTGAAATGACAGAATGTGGGATTTATAGACAATACGTACAGGGGATTTTTCAGATACGAGAAAACCCGGGCACGTGTGCCCTAGGCCAGGAAGCGAACGGTGACCTCCTGGTTCACGCAGGCCGACGCTCAACCACGGAGCCACGAAACTGCCTTCTATGAAAATATTTATATCCTTCCATCTTATGTTCTAGGTTTCTTCCTGACCTACTCCCTGGGGACAGCCGGAATGGCTGCGAAGGGCTCGACGAGTCCCCACGTCTTCGGCTGTGAAGATGAAACGGCGTGGAGAGGCTCACTTGAAACGCTTTCGTAGGGTGGAAAACAACAGCTCTTAGCGTCCACGCCTGAGGTGGCTCCAAAGGTTGGTTCGCTTCCACTGCACTATTTAGAGGTGCCTTTGAGGGATACGACGTTTTTCTGGTCGCATTTGTGCGCATATCAGTAACTCATCGGTATAGGTTTGCTTTGACTAATTTCAAATAATCACGGGCGATCCTTCACTATGCATGATGCC